TTAATTCTTCCCCTTTTATTACTGTATGTATGCAGCAAGTAATGGAGACTGATCAAATGTGTTGTTGGGGGTGACAGGAAACTGCACATATATGAGACGTGGGTTTAACACATTCATGCTAAGGACATTACTAATATGCACTATACTATAAAAATACTTAGGATAATATAATGATATTGAATATACTTGTTATTTTTCTATGTATGTTAGTTGTGACATTTTATGCCAGTTTGACATCTTTAGCCTGAGTTGGACTTCTAGATTCAAGAGAAAGGGTTGTAGTTTCAATCCCTGGCTGTCCTGGATCAGACATTGTTGCCTTGCCCTAAGTAGGAGCCAGTTTAGTACCACAATATGGTATGGTGGCCTGGATAAACTTATATTTAAAAGCCTTATTTTATGAGGAGGGAATGAATGGCATTGTAATTTTGAAACTTCCATTAACTGTGAATGATCTCCATATATTCCCCAGAAACCACAGTGCAGTCATTGTGGACGGCTTGTCTATTGCCCAAGAAATAAAAAATGAAATAAAGACTGAAGTTAAATCCTTACTTGGAAGCGGCAAAAGAGCTCCCCATTTAACCGTGTTACTTGTTGGAAATGATCCTGCCAGTGTGGTGTATGTAAAGAACAAAAGAAAAGCTGCAGAATACACTGGTAATGCACTTCTTATTTTTACTCAGTGTCAGTTGTACTGATTTAAACTAAGTTTTTTTTTTTGTAGATCTGAGATGTGCTGCGTCACATTGGCTGCAGCCTTAACAAGTTGAACTGAATTTGTTTTGAAAAATATTTTTCTGTTCGTACTCGCAATCTGTATTTTACAGTTGTTTGCTGACAGATTTTGTCAATATTTTTTTATAAATCTGTTTCACAAGTTTTCTATGCTTCCTTTTGTTTTATTCCCAGGAGTCGCATTATTATTAGAGATGATATTAAAAGAGAGACATAGTTATAGTAAAGATAGATTGATCTTGTTTTTCCTGTATCTTCATGCTTTTTGAGATGGTTGGTTTTGAGTTTCTTTTGAAACACTATAATGACTGTTGTGTTGTTGACTCTTAAAAAGGATTACTCTTTGAAAAAATATTAATCTATGTTGCTACTGTTGTTTTTAAAAAATTCAACATAGTTTAGTTGTAATCCATTGCTTTCATCAGTCATGTTTCTTCTGCAGGGATTACATGTGATATTCTAAGACTGCCATCAACAGCTGAAGAGAAGGATGTTGTGAAGCAGATAAGTTTCCTGAACGAAAACTCTGATGTTGATGGCATCCTTGTACAGCTACCACTTCCTGAGCACATTAGTGAAAGAAACATTTGTGATGCTGTCCTTCCGCAGAAGGATGTTGATGGTTTCAACGTTCTTAACGTGGGCCGGTTCTGTGTAGATGATACAGCATTTATACCTGCAACGCCATCTGGTGTACTGGAAATAATCAAAAGACTCAGTAAGTTAATTTGATTTTTAAAAATCTATTTGATGATTGCCTCTTGAGTTGTAGTTAGAAGTCAATGTGGAAATATGAAAGTTGTTATTTGTATTGTCATCTTTCTTGTTTTCACGCATCGATTATTGCAATGCTTTACTAGCTAACTTACCATATATCTCTCTTCACAAGTTACAATGTTTTCAAAATCATGCTGCTAGGCTTGTACTAAAGAAAAAGAAGAGGGACCACATTACTCCCATGTTAAGAACGTTGCATTGGCTTCCCGTGTCAGCTAGAATGTCATATAAAATTGCAATATTATGTCATAAATGTGTCAATAACAAAGCTCCCTCATATCTTAGTGATCTCATCCAGATTTATGTTCCATCTAGATCACTAAGATCAGGCGATCAGTATCTTTTAAGAGTTCCTAGAAAAGGCGGTAAAAAATTAGCTGAAAGATCGTTCGCCCACCTTGCTCTGTCAGTTTGGAACTCTCTTCCCCAACCCTTGAGACATACAACATCTGAGTCTAAATTTTAAAAAATCTTTAAAGACACATTTAATGACATCCTTTTTAAGTCAGTAGATTCATGTTCAATACAATGTTATGTAAATGTCTATGTATCCATTTATGTATTTTGTAAATTGCAGTGTATATATTATTCTATGCTCATTTCGTGACGATGTGTAATCGTGTGCATGTGAAAAGCAAGTAGATATGTGTGTGTGTGTACGTGTGTGTGTGTGTGAGTGTGTGTGTGTGTGTGTGTGTGTGTGTGTGTGTGTGTGTGTGTTTGGCATACATGTGTGTGCACATGTGTGCTTGTTATGTGTTTGTGAGTGTGTATGCATGTGTTTGTGTGTGTGTATGTGTATATGTGTGTGTATATGAGTGTGTGGATTTGTGTGTGTGTGTGTCGCGTGCATGAATATTGTTCTTACATGCATCTATGTAAAGCGCCTAGAGCTGTGTTTACACGGGAGTGGGCGCTATAGAAATGATCTTTATTATTATTATTATTATTGCGTGGTTGGTGTTAGTTCTTGAAGAAACTGATTAGCATCTATTTGTTGAGTGAAAAAGTTCTGAATCAAGTTTTAGAAATCATATGTTTCGTAATGTGTTCATGTCACTTTTGATGAATCAAGATTTTTAAGCTCTCCTTTCAAACTTTGTTCTTTTTCACCTGATTTTAGCCAAATTATTAGCATCGACGCATCTTTTTTGTCAGATGCCCCTCTTTCCCTCGCAATAACTGAAAAAGAGGTTTTGGCAAAGAGACATGCATTGAACTGCCCCAGCAACGGAACAATGGCCAGTTGAATTCTCAGTTTCTACTTGTATGTAGGATCATGAATGAAAGGAAGATATACAGCTGAGGCAGAACAAGTGCAGTAGTGGCTTACATATTCCAACTTGCCTTGACATGTTAATTATGCATAGTATTTAAAGCGACTGTAAATTAAAACAAACAAGCTCTGTTCTGTATCTTTCTGTTTCTGTATTTTTCTGTTTTTTATCCGTCTCTCTCTATGCATATTTTATCCTGCTTTATTATGCTCCTCGACATTACGTTTCTGGATTTTTGAATTTTGTTTCAGACATTACGACGTTTGGTAAAAATGCTGTTGTATGTGGGAGATCCAAAAATGTTGGCTTGCCTATTGCAATTCACCTCAATTCTGATGGGAAAGGTGCTTCTTGTGAAGGTATAAATATAAGTTTTCCTCTCTATATATTGCTTTGAACTCTCACTCTCTTTGCTTTTCTTGAATTAAAGAAGTAGCACTTTTGATTGGCTTTAAGGGTGTGGTTAGATATATCTTTATAAAGACAATCTTTGACAATGCAAATTGTGCACATGCATAGAAAACAAGCATAGAAATGTCAGAATTTATATATGAAAAAGTACTTTTCTGATTGCTCTTCTACTTCTCCTCAGAAAATAGCCAACAAAATCTTTTTAATGGCTTTATTTTACATTGCTAAGTTAGATTCGTAGTCAAGTTGCTATTCCCTTCCTAAAAGCTTCATCAAACATGTAATTGTCAGGTTGAGGTTGTATAAGGGTGGTATTGATTCAAATGATATAAATTTTGAATACTCCAGATCCGGTCACTGGGTGCTAAGATGGCTTTCAATAAAAAGAAATAAAAAATTAGTTTTTAAAAAATAATTAAAAATTCATGATCAAGCTCTGAAATGAATAATACAAGTAAAGTTTAGTTGCAATTCATCTGTTAAGAATTCTGGACCCTTTGCATTGCTTTGCTCTCCTAACAACTGTTCTTTGTTCATATAGAATGATGAATTACTGAAGTGTCTTTAGGCCTTTCCCAAAGGGGGAACATTAATGCAAATGGGCTGTTTCATCAATGTCATGCTCATAACTGTGCCTGAACTGCAACAGGGAACTGCTGCTTTTTCTTTCCTAACCTTTAATATCGTCATTTTTCCTCTACTTCTTTTGTATGTTTGTCACACTCTTCTGACCCGCTATTTCTGGGGTGCCTTGATAGTCGAAGCAGACTTTGTGCTGTTGAAGTTAGAGAGGTGAGCAGTGTGAGCCTGATTCTCTGCAAGGATTCTCTGTTGACATCCGCCCCTTGGTGCTCGTATGACCTTATGTAGTTGCGAGCGCTGTAAGACCTCTACAAAAACAAAAAGAATGATGAATGATGTAGTATCTTCTTACCCAGGTAAAAAAGCAAAACAAACCCAAACACCTTGCTTTTTCCTGGTTGTCTTTGGTTTTATAATGTTGACCAGTGAGTATAAAGTATTTCCATGTCCTTTCTTCTTACTTTTCTCGTAAGCATCGTTTTGTCACCTTGCTTTATTTCATTATTAACGATGAATCCTCTGAAAATTCCAAGCAGCATGAGCTCTGTATGCTATTGTAATTTTGTTATGAATTGTGAAAAGTTATAGAGGATGAGTTTTTCATCCTCGCAGCTCTGTTATGTTGAGTGAATTCGTTTTATGACATCCCTCATTCATTTCTCAATTTGTAGGTGACACCACCACCACCGTATGCCATCGCAACACTCCACCAGAAAAGCTCAAGTTTTTCACGCAGCAGGCAGACATCTTAGTCACGGCAACTGGTGTGCCGGGTCTTATTACTGCTGATATGGTCAAGGACGGAGTTGTTGTGATTGACATTGGCATCACTCGCATTACGGACGACAAGGGCAAAGCCAAACTTGTTGGCGATGTTGATTTTCAAGGTTTGAGAACCCTGACAAAGATATATTATGAATGCATACCCTTAACTGCAGTTAATTTAGTAGTAGTCCCATATAATTCAGCTTTAGCTCAACTGTCAAACTTGTGTTGTAGTTTGTGCAGTTTGTTTCAGTTGCCATGTAATGTTAACTGAATACACTTAAATAATGAGATTGAAAATGACTTCCTAATGTAACATATTACTAGTACAAACCACAAATTCTACTATGATAAACTGTTTTACTGATACATTCCTTCAGCCTCACACCAACAAAAAGAAAGTACATGTTTTATCGATAGGGTTTGATCACTGACATCTATTGAGAAGAATACCTTGAAAAATGCAGTTGATAAAATGCTTCTTTAATGTCAACTGCAATTCACTCAGTTTAAAATAACTCTGAATCTGGATTTTTTAAATTAACATACAATTACTGTCACAAATGTTAGAAGTATCTAAGTGTATGACATTTTGTCCTTGTAAAGATTTCGGACAATGTTTTGATAATGTCTGAAGGCATGTGCAGCTTTTTAGTTGTTACCTGATCTGTACAGTTACCTGATGTATTCTAATGACATGTCTCTGAGAAACAAAGGTAGGTGTGATTCCTTGTTGCACAGGGTAACAAAGCAGTTGAAAACCCTCTATCCTGTATTTTTGTTTGGTTTTCACCCAATGGCCACCAAACTGGGTAAGGGGGCTCTCGTGGCCTAGAGGTTAAGGTGTTGGCCTCTCATTCAAAAGATCCCGGGTTCGAATCCAGGTAGCGACCGAAAAATTTTCTTTTCAAAATTTGTCTCCTTTCACCTCATTTCCTGCTCTCCAGCAATGTTCTGTCATCTGCTTTCGTCTCCTCTTTCTGCCCCCACCCCCTCACCTCCTTTGCCCCTTCCTCTTGGCTCCTGATTCTTTCTGCAGCCTTTCTACTGCTACTCCTTCACTTCTTCTTACTGCTGTCTTTCAACCACGCCCCTGATCTTCTGGTAGGAAAGATCTACCCCTAGCCTTCTAGGGCAAGGGCGAAAAATCTCGGAGGGCCCGTGTGCAAGTTGCACACGTTAAAGATCCCTTGGTGGTCTAAAATCGATAAGATTTGGCTTCGGCCGCCACCCGGGCAAAATTCAAAATTTCCTACCAACTGAAAATATTAGGTGTGTCCCGCGCGCTCATATGACCTTATGCAGTTGCGAGCACCGTAAAACACTTAACAAAAACAAAACAAAAAAACACTGGGTAACTGGAGACTGACTATTCTTATTCGTTTTTACTTTCTTCTTAAGCTCCTTTTTCGTTGAGTCATTTCTCTCCATATTTGTTACACTGTGACACTAGTCAGCTCAAAAAAGGGATGATTTGTGTCATTGGGTGTTTAATTCCATGTCAAAACCTTTGGTGACAACCTGTGTGACCTACCATCGAATTAAAAATATATTGCTGCTATTACTTTTAGTAGTGCTGTTAATATAAAAGCCGTTTGCTTTCTGCAGGAAGGTAAAGATCAGTAACATGAAGCAGTTTTTTTGTGAATAGCAGTATCCCTGTATCTTGATATCTGATTGTAAATCCTACCATGTCAAAAAGACAAAACATTAACACAGCATTAAGCGTATTTCTATTTGTCTCCATACAGGTGTCTCACAGAAAGCCAGTTACATCACTCCAGTTCCAGGGGGTGTCGGCCCTGTCACAGTTGCCATGGTGATCAAAAATACGTTGACAGCATACAAGAAAGAGATTAACTTTGACAGACATTCTTGACAAACAGAAATGTTGTAGTATTGCTTTGTGTGTTATTAGTACCAGCTAGGTATCAACTTTGAAGGTAACATTTCCATAAAAGTCTGTACAAAAGTCTTCAAATTTTAATATTCCTTAGAATGAAAGCTCTTTGAAACTTGGAGAAAAGCAATATTGAAATTTAAAAAGTAGTAGAACAAATAGTATCTAACCATTCGCAAGCCCATGGTACACACTTATGCACATGCTCACACAATTATTCACCAGCACATGAAAACACTCCTATATACTCACTGTATGCTGTCGCTTGCATCCTTTTATCTCAGATTTATACATTTATACAGTAGTCTCTACCTTATGGCACAATCATTGGGAGGGCTCCGAATCATGCCTTAACTGGAAGCGTTTGTTAATGTGAAACTGTGCAAAGGGTAAAGGGATGCAACCATTTTATTTCCTTAAAATTTTAGTGCCATAATATTTGTGCGTGATGTGCATCATAGGCCTAACTAAACAATACAGTCACACAAACACCAAATAAGAACTTTCTCTCAAAGACATTTCAAGTGACCAATCAAAAGACATATCAATCTCCCCATTATCGTATTGCTTGCAGAATTCTATGTGTTCATAGGGTGTGAACACTTTCTTTATCACTTTAATTGTGCTATGTTAGGAGCAGCCCTGCCAAATATCTGGTTGTCTAGACTTTTCTTTTGTTATCATGATGCATCCTGTCTGGGTTGTTGCAAAAATTTCCCTTTGTTAAATGTAACCTGTCAGTGTGTTTTGCAGATCGAAGTGCGAGTTTAGAGGATGTTACTGTGCATTTGTACTTGTAAATTATATTAGTACAGAACTCGTCTTATGACAAATGTGGGCATTTGAGCAGAGCGCGCCTTTGTGTGGCGTGCATTAAAGTGGAGACTACTGTATGTTCACCAAGAGATTTTGTTAGTAGACTATGATAGATTTCAGTACATATTTTTGAAATTGTTGAAGTTAAATATTCAATGAAGTATTAGTTTTATTGTGGGTTTATTTTTGGTTTTGTAAAGAAGAGGACAAATTTCCAACAGTTTTTGCAATATATTGGAAGCGCTTCTGCTCTTCACTTATTGTTTGTGATACTATATTGCTGATGTAACACTTTCTTTACCCTGTTGTGTCTTCTCTATAAAAAAAAAAGAAACTTACAGTTACTGAACAGATGCCAATTGATTGCTTTAAAGTGTTTAAGTCATCTTATAATTCATTGCTTGGTCCATACTTTCTGCTATAATTTCCCTGATTGGACTAAGAAAACAAGTGGAGCTGCTGTCGTCTGTTTTGACTATAGACAGTTTCATTTAATTTTTGGTATGTAGATAATATTAGGTCTGTTTTGCAAATGCCGTCCGCTGTCCATCTGATTTAATACAAAATTTGTTTAGCATGAACACTTGGCTTGTATAAACAAACTTTTGTCAGATCTGAAATTACTTTTGCTGTGAAACTCGATTATAACGAAGTCCTCGGGTTCAACCTCAAAGTTTGCTGAAACCGAGTGTTCTTTATAAAAAAAAGGTAAAGCTAATGTGAGCATCTTTATAATCGATAATGGTAGGTATATCTGTTCTGAACACGTCGTGTTGTGAATATAAGGGGACAGAACCAATGGTGTTCATGTTCCAAAATGATGGCTTATGTGGGCAGTTGCTTCCTTTGACAAAGCCCATGAACAATGGGGGTCAGGTCTTTTTTGTTCACATTTTGATTTTTCTTGTATAAGTACAGGTGTATATTGTCTCTTCAAATCAAATCATGTCTTACTATGTCCATGGCTGCTCTTATTAAGTCTTATCATAGCCGTTGCAACTTTTCCTTCCCCCCCAAAAAATTGTCAAAGAGCTGGACGCACTGCCATATTCACAACAACCCCTTGCCTCCCTTCCAATCAAATCCCTTCAGTATATCCTCATTTACTCATAGTTAGCAGGCTCCCATAAAAACCCTATATCATGAATCTCAGTTCATGTGTATTCTGTTTTCCAACATATGACTTCATTACAATTGGTTGTACTATTCACCAATACAGTGTTGGGCATTCTCATAAGTGTCTTTAGTTCATAATAATTTTAATCACAAAAGTAACCCATTTTAAAGTTTCATTGTACTGTGATCTGCACTTAACAAATAACCAAATTGGAGGCCCAGTTGTGTTCTTCCTTCTGCAGTGCTTAAAAAGTTGTTGGCTGTGGCCACTAAAGTTCCCTTGTGCCACAACATTATGTTGGTTGTAAATGCTCCCTGTTTACCTTTTACATGACGATTCCTCAGTTTTTAATGAATATTTATTATAATAATGAGGCTATGCTGTTTCAAAAGTATCAGATCTTTTTAACGTTGTTAAAAATGTAATTTGTGTTTTCTGTCAATATCACTTACTGTTTTTATGATTTAAGGGCATTCATATCTGTAGTAAACTACAGCAGCGGAAGTAATGTTGGTGCATGTACATGTACATATATTTTAGTGTTTAAAAGAAGTTTTGATGGTCTTGTTTACGAAGTTTTCAGAGATATTACTGTATTGTGGAATAAGGCTGCATAGTTTAGCCTCTGAAGTACTAACATGTAAAAAAACCAAAATGTACTCCTTGCCAGTCCATTCGACGGACAACCAAGATAATGCCTTCTCCTTAAGACTTGTGCAGGATAAGCCTCTACTATCACTTCCACACCTAAATGCACAACTCTTCTAGTATCAATAAATCAGAGGTCTCAGGCCCCCCCCCCCTCCCCCCTCCATCTTAGACCACTACGTTCTACCAAAATATTTTTGATAGAGCCAGTGACTGCTCCAAGCTTGTATGAATGCTGAGGGAGATTGTTAGATACTGAGGATTTTAGAAGACTAATCTAATAGCAGACTGTCAAGTGGAATAGTTGATAGATTGTCTGGTTGTAGACTGTCAAGTAGGACAGAGACATTAAGGTTGACCATCAAGTGGACTGGCACCCGTTTTCTTCATATCTTTTCTGGGCTTTTATATAGCTTTAGGTTCACTGTTTTGACATTTAGTGCATGCTGTAGAGTAGTTTCAACACTTATCACATATCTTGCTGTCAAAAATTGTATTTCTCAAGATAAAGTGTTAGTTTGTTTCTCTGTGCCCGATGCAGAGACATTGAAAGAAATATTTCTCACATCCAGAAGGCTTTTGATAAAGGTCTTTGTCTTGAGAAAAAGTTGTTTTTTTTAAATTTAAAAGCATGAAACATTATTTTTTTAAACATAGCATTGAAGACAAACTGCGATGGATCATTTGATGTTCTTAAGTTGCCGAATTTGCCTCTAATGCTTTCCCATGTCATACTATATATTTACAGAATTGATCTCTGTTTATGTTTTTAAAGTATTGATTTGGTTAAATTGATGTTTGATGTTGTTTATGTTTAGGTTGTGCCTAGATATAATTATTTATATAACTGGGTGAGATGCTGTTTGTTTTCTTCTTTTCTTGTTTCCTTACTGTGCAGTTTTAATCATAATGTATTAATGGGCTTTCAACCTTGCCTGTTCTTTGACAAATTGAAGTCCATATGATGCACTATTTAGTGAAATCTAATCCAGAATTATCTTCTGTTTTATTGTTAAATCTGCTCATTGGTGCTGATAGCAAGATTCCCACAAGGCATCTTAGTTTTGTCCACCATGATTTAATGAAAAAGCTGATCAATATGGATTTTCTTAAAAAATTCTTTCCGTCACTGCTATTAATTAATTGTTAAGGATGCATGAAGTACTAAAGTAGATTTATAAGTGAGACGTACTGTTCCAGGAGTAATCACATACAGTAGTAAGTGGTCCTCAGAGTTTAGTTTTATTGATGGGTTTATTGTTTTTAAAATTATGATGCAAATGAGTCATAGCTGTTTGTAGTAGTCATATATCAGTTTACACATTTTTGTGCCCTGTCAAAAGTGATCACTTTTCTCCTCGACAATGGGTAGTGGCGTCGGTGGCCTAGTGGTTAGGCTCTCGGACTCGCAACTGTAAGGTCGTGGGTTCGAATCCCGTCAGGGGCTCGACGTTGTGTCCTTGGGAAAGGCACTTTGCACCAATTTTCCTCACTTCACCCAGGTGGAAATGGGTACCCAGCTATAGACAGTGAACGATCTTGTCAGTTTGATAGTGTTTGAGCGTGTGACATCCGCTGCTTTCACTGTATACTTCCGCGGAAGCCGAGAATGTTTCTGAGTGTTCTCAACGAGGGTCTACTGGGGTAATAATAGCTGTAAAGCGCATAGAGCATGCTCTTGAGCATGGATATGCGCTATATAAATGCAATTATTATTATTGTTATTATTATTATTATTATTATTATTATTATCTGGACTGGGACAGATTCGATTTTATTTCTCCTTAGCCCAATGTTCTAACGAAAATCTGAGTGTTTCATATTTTAAATTGTCTGTTTTGTGCCTTGCCAGGACTTCATTTGATAAAGAAAACAAAGGCAAGGGTTCCTCAGGCTTCAGGAAATTTTAGAATGGAACATAATCTATTTTGAGTGCAAATTTCTTGCTCCTTGTTCCCTACTACAATGTGAAACTCTTAGTTTGATCTTGGACAAGCATTAGAATCATTGAGGTCCTTCAATTGTGTTGATGTTCTATTTAACTCTATTGAGTACATCAAAAAAGACCAGAGTGAAATATTTGAATCACCCCTTACCTTTTGAGCAATATATATGCTCCCAGAAGCGTAGCTGAATGCATTGTCCAGATATTGTTAAATTTAAAAAATATTCTTATGGCTAATTTATCTGAAAAACTCATGTTTAGAAGGGAAGGGAAAAGTATTCATTTTCATTCCTTATGAAAAGAAATCAGTAGGCTTTCCAGTACATTGTAATCTTTGGCATCAAATGATATAGACTTACATGTTGGTCAGTTTGTTCAACACAAGTTTTATTTGATAGTATTTTTACTTATGAACGGATACACAAAATGAACTTGTCATTGTACCGTGGTATGTCCTCATTTCATTTTGATAGAAAATTGTTTTGTTTTTCCAGTAATAGAATTTGCATTTATTGATTTTGCATGTTAGCTTATGAGAAATAAAAAAGTATCTTAGATTATCTCATGGTTTTTTCAATGGAGTTTTCTTTGTTTTCTTTTGTCTCATTGTTTAAAAGTCATCTTCAGCATGTTTACTTTTTTTTTTTAAATCGGATCATATTGTGTAGGTGTGGGATATCAGAACTTGCTCAAGAACATTTTTATTTTCCAGATAATATTAATTTTGAATCAAAAGTGTCATGCTCTGTAACAGAGTTTATAGCCAACTGTGGAGGTTTTAGTTCATTTTTTCTTATTAATCTTAGTCACTGACATTCAAACTGATTCTTGATTTTCTGCTGTCAGGGTCACGTGGTAGGCTTAGTCAGTGGACAATAGCTATATGTGTAATGATAGCCTGTGACTCTGATTGGTTTAGTTTTAGTAAGAGTTTTTTACGGCATTTACAACACAATAAGGTCATAAAGTGCCGAAAATTAGAGGTGTTACAAGAGAGTAACAAACACAAAAAAGGAGGAGGAGAGAGAAGGACGATAGCTTTTAATAGGAAAGAACGGAGCAAACGACGCTTGAGCACCCGCCAACCACCTACTTCTGAATGGTCTCAAGAGTAACTGTTGATGGAACAGAATACACCAGCGCCGTGATTGTGAAGCATTTTGGTCACTGTATCTGTCCCCGTCGTTTTATGCAAGAACAATTCTGAAATTATGCAAACTGAGCCCAAAAATGTGAAACTATGCGATTCTGTTAATTTTAACAAAGAATGATAAAGGAAAAT